GACCCCGGGTCCTGTAAAGAGTTTTTGCAGCCCTGGGCTCCCTCAGCAACATTAAAGGGACAACCCTCGCTGAGAGCTGCCCAGAGTCTCTGAGCTCCCGGCCTAGGGAGGCCGGGTGCATGCAAGTTTGGGCTGGCCCCAAGCCAGGTTGGCTAGGGGGTAGAGGCCCTCAGTTTGCCCTGGTGAGTCGCTGCCGGCTGGAGAGCCCAGGAAGCTTTCTCAGTGGCCAGGCAGGAGTACTCTGCCAAAGCCTCTTTGGCTGTGGTCTCTTTTGCGGGGAACCCCGAGAGAGTTCTTTAACGCAGAGAAGTGTAGAAGTGCCTGTCACCCTTTCCCAGAGACTTGGCTGCCCTCCCAGATCTCCTTCCTTCCACGCACCCCATCCTCAAATTGAGTCCCTTCAAAGGAGCCATACATCAAGCAGTCCCAAACTCTAGCCTGGCGAGATGTGGACCACGGACCCCTGTCCCCCCTGCGATGAGGTTTGGGGCTGGGGAGCTTCCATTCTGGCAACTGGGGTAAGATATAGGAGAAAGTGGTCACCATTGTTTCAGACACGGTGGCCTTGAGAGCTTCTTGTTTCTTTTTTTTCTCGAATATTTGCCCCCCACCCTTTATTCTTTTCGAGGTTCTAAGATAGGCCTGAGGAACGGGATCTGATTTGCCATTGCATTTGGGTTATTGCATATCTGGAAAAGTAAACAGGATTGTTCAAGTCACTTGATTTGTTTTCTGTAAGCAAATAATACCCAAAAGCATGGCTGTAATTTACCACGAATTAAAATTGATTCTTTTCATCAGGCAAGAAAATAGGAAAATGTGAGATCGTTAATTATTGAGGGAGGCGCTCCTCATTAAAGGGAACAATGTTACAATTCAGCATTTAATAGCAGGAATGTGAATAATAACGCGCCATATTTCAGCCCACTGTCTGCAAAGAAAAGAGAGCAGTTTACAAACAACCCAAGCAGCTGAAAGTTACATTTAATAAACACCCGAGGTTTCTGTAAGTGGAATAAACAATCAGGGAGCTGGGCACACTACCCAATTCTTCAGGAGCACCTAGTATAAATTTTTATTCTTTCTGTCTCTCAGTCTCCACAAAAGATTCACAATGAGCACAGAAATACAATTAGAGATAAAATCAGAATTACAAACCTAATTAGCATAAATCCATCAGTTGGGCACTTGCTGCCAGGATCTCCCACCCCATTCACCTCCCCATCCAACTATACTGTATTTCTAAATCTTTCTCTGGACCAGGATGGCAAAGCAGAAGAGACACCCATTTGGTAGTCGCTGTGCTTGTAGTTTACATAATCATCCATCAAGGTTTTGATTTAATATATATACACATATCCCAGAAAGCCCATTCTCTCAAAACTACAAAGTTCTCGGGCTGGGTCTAGGCGCTCAGCCAGTCGGGAGACAGAGCGGTTTCCCTGGCCTTTAAATGGTCTTTGTGCTTCGTTAAAAAGGAGAAGCGGAAAAGAGGAGAAAGAAAAAAAAAATGATTTCCCTGTGCATCGCCCCTTGGCAGGCTCTTGTACAAAATTCAATCTCTATTTTTTATGAGAAGTAAACTGTCTAAATAAATTTTATTAGGGGCAACCAATATATTTTCTGGTAGTTCCCTTTGTTCCACTTCTACGTGTGTGTAACAATCTAAAACCTATTTATTGAGGAAAAATCACTGGATCCGTCATAGAAAATCCTTTTACTTTGCTTTGAAGTGATTTCTGAAGACATTCTTGTCATTCCGAAGATTTGGGGGCCATTGCGCTAAAGCCTCGCCTTGTTAGGGACTTCAGTTCCCATGATCATGTGGGAAATGCCTTAAATTATCAATAGCAATGGGCCTGACCGGCACTTTCCCGGCTGCCCCAGGAACGTGGGAAGATGACGGGGAATAAAACTCTGGTAAATACATCTCAGGCGCTGCCCAAGTGGATTCAGACTTCGGCCAGAACGAGCTGCCGAGAAGAAACCGGGAGCGGGGACGAGCATTTTATATCCCGACTATTGTCGTTTTCCTCGCCACGCCTGCTGGCAACCGGCTCCCGACATCCGGCTCCAGCTCCAGCTTGCACACTCCCCACCTCGACGCCCCAACACCACCCCCGTCACCCCCTCCCCTCTCAGATTTCCCATTCTTTTTTCCCCCTTTCCTTTATCCCTACCCCCCCAAGATGCTTATGCTCTGAAGTCTTGGAAGAAATGATTTAGTTTGTTTATACTGCTATAAAAATCAAGACCAATAGAAAAGTCATAAAATGAAGCGGGCTATCAATCACGCCGCAACATTGTTATTCAGTGGTTACTAACAGAGATGGATAATCCTTTGATTTCGTCCCATTGTTATTACTCTGATGTGTCTTCACATTAACTATTACACATTTATTTATCGACCTGAAAGATACAACAAAACAGAATATACGAGCGAGTGAGTGTGGGAGGACGCTGCACGGCCCGCGGCTGCTCTGGGAGTGGCTGTGGGAGGAGGACAAGAGCGTCTGTGTACACACGAGAGCGGACTCGGGGCCCCGCGCCCTTCTTCTCTCCCCACGTCGCGGCCTCTCCTCCCTCCCTCCTGACGGTGCACCGCCAAGGCAAAACGGGCCTCCACGGACTTGCCTGTTTGGAGGAGCAGGGTCAGCTCCCAGGCCCCCCTCTCTCTTGCTCTGACACTTCTGCCCACCTCTGCCCCAGCGCTCGGGTCTTGGAGGCCCTGCAAGTGTCTCCCAGGTGGACACAACCCACTGCGAATCCCGGCAACGTGCAGCCAGGTGCGCACTTGGGAGCCGCGTCCAGGACGCACGCCGCCCAGCCCCAGGCCGCCGTCTGGCCTCTCGCCTCGAACGCCTGGCGCCGTCCCTTCTGGATTGGGGGTTTTGTTTGGGGAAGGGGAAGGTTTTACTGGAGGGACTTTATTTGCCTTAGGTTTAGGCATTCTCCTTCCCATCAAGGCTTTGTCGAAAGGACGCTAGGTGTCTGCGGAGCACCCTGGGGGCTTCCAAGCGTGCTGCTGCCACCCGGGCTCCGCCAGGCTGCTCTCCGCGTTCCCGGCGCCCCGGCCCCACACAGGCCGCGTTGGCATCAGTTGCGGCGGCCGCTGAAGCTCGGCCAGGCCCAGAGCCTCCGGGAAAGCCGTCTCCGCAGCTTGGAAGGAACCGCTGTGGCTGATGCCCAGCAATCACGCGTGTGTGCATGTGTGCGCGCGCGCACGTGTGTGTGCATGGGAGGAGGGGAGCAGACTGCAGGAGAGAAGGAGGAGGAAGCACAACTGCCCCAGAGTTCGCCTTGCTGCCTCCTTTGTCTCCTTGCTCGGTCCCTGTCACACATGCAGCTAAGGACACACACACACACACACACCCATTCCTCTCGCATCTGCTCTCAGGCAGCATTTCCAATGTTTTGTGTAAGTCAATTGGACGGCGAACAAAAAAAGCCATTTGCTCGGTATTATTTAAAACAGACTTCATAGGACCACCCTTTTGTGGAAGCTTTATTTGCACTAAATGAATAATCTTAATTGCATCACTCTAGAATTAAAAATCAATGTTAATCAAGTTGAGAGTAGTAAATATCAGTTTTCATTGTGCCTGGGTAGAGGGCATTTTTCTTGTGTTGCAAATAAAAATACAAGTCAAATAACTTTAAAAGGGCATTATGTTCTGCTACAAATACAATTGAAACGGATTGTTTAGGAGCAGATCAGAAATGGTACAGAATTTTGCACTTAATTTCCTCAGTTATCATTTACAATAAGAACCTCTGGGCTTGACAGCCAAGTCTAAACAGTAGTAAATTAGTACAAATTTATACTGATTTTACTCTAATAATCGTAATAAAAGCTTATAGATTTGGCACTAATTACATAAATGCCTAATGATCTTGAAAATTACTCTGGTTAGAAATATATTACTAATCTAAACTTTGTTGTTGGCTGGCTCTGAAAAATCAGAACATTAGAGATGGTTCGCTTCACTTGTGCAAAGCACTTTAAATTGTTCAAGTAGTTTAACATATTCAAGAAGAAAATAAAGAGCATTTAACTTTATTTACAGCCATAAGTGGAATTGGGAACCGAGCTGAACTTAGAAACTTTGACCGAAAGAGCAGGATGTGGGGCCAGGATGCAAGCGTGGGCCCGGCGGAGGAGCGGGCTCCCAGCGGGAAGGGTACAGAGTGTACGAATCGGCACTCTGCTCCGAGCCCTGAAACTGACTGCGGGCCCAGGAAGCGCCGCGGGGGGAGTCTACTCCTTTTTTCCTCTCTAGGCCTGCTGAGGGGGTGGTACTCTTTAGAGCCGGGGTCCCAGCCAGGGGCTTCTGTACCCTAGGCTCAGGCCTGCTAGGCGGCCGCGAAGTCTAGGCGCGGTCTAGAGGCCGCGCAGGGCGCGGGTTGTGCTGCGTGTTGGCAGGCCCGAGCCAGCAGCAGGCCAGGGTGGCCCATAGCGCGCGGGCGGGAGTGACTCTCGGGTCACGCGGGGGTCAAGCCGTGCTCTGTCCCTTGGGCCCGGGAAGATCCTAGTCGTCAGAGACAGAGCTGCACCTTGGAGGGAACAGGGACAAGGAAAAGGAAAGGTGTGCCTGGAGAAAATCGCGAGAAGAACCAGCGGAGGCCGGGCCGCTGAGCCCCCGGCGAGGCCGAGGAGGCCTCCGCTGCTTTAGCTGCTGCTGTCGGCTGGAGCTGCCAGGGCAGCCGCCACCGCCTCCTCCGGGCGGGCGCGGGCGGGCGGGCGGGCGGAGTGGGGGACTCTCCCGGCGCTGACATTTGCAGGCTGCCCTCCTGATTGGTCCCCTCGCCGAGCTGCTCACGGGTTCATTCAACTGTTAAGCACCTCCCCGTCTCTCTAAAGGACATTATAATGCAAGAAGCCCCCTTTTTAACCACAAACCGAATTTTCTTTCATTTAGGTGATCTATATATATCTATATCGTATAGCTTATAGCTTATATCTATTTTAAATAACTTAAAGCCGCTAAAATTTGGGGGGGAACAGCTTTCGCCCTGGAGCGGTGCGCGATGCTGTCTCACGCCGACCTCCTGGACGCCAGGCTAGGTGAGTGCGCACCTCTCGCCCGGGCAGCCAGGAGAAGCCCGGGCAGGAAATTGTCAATTTGTTCCTTATTTTACCTTAATGCGCCCTAAATGGACTAATTTCTTTAAAAGTAATTGTGCTGCATTAAAGTTTAATTTGATTTAACATCGTCTTTAAAAAAAATCTATGGAATATGTAGATCCAAAAAGGACTAGGGAAATGTTGTTACTTTTTGTTTTTCCTCCCCCCCTTCTTCCCTCTCCCTTATTATTATTAAATTTTTTTTTTTTTTTTGAACGGCAATCTACCCTGAGATAATTTGTTCGGAGGTGTTTTTCTTTCTCTCTCTTCCCCGCCTGTTTGCTTTGATTTGGGATTTTTTTTTTCTCCTCTTTTTTCCTTTCTCTCTCCCACTACCTCCTTCTCTACCCCTCATCTAAGTATGGTTGAATTTGTAAAAATCTGGCGTAAAAGAGAAGTCGCTGCAATCGAGGCGGATTTTTTAAGTGTGTTCACTGAGAAAGGAGAAAAGCCAAATTCATCCCTACAGGCATCCCCGCCTGCAAGGGACTCGGCGTTGACAATGTCGGAGGGGAACGCGCCTTTTATTTCTCCGGAAAGAAAAGTTGAATTATCTGAAGTTTGATTCACTATTCTGTCTATAGAGTTTACTTGAGTTTCCTTAATGCGGTCTGGGTTGCTGAGCTCTGGGTTTCCGGTTTGGGAATCTTTGGTGATGGATGTGATTCCATTTTCCAAACACTTTCTCTGATTTGAGGGAGAGGCGGAGCTGATTTGGGTTGATTTCAGAGGGTAGAAGGCTTGGAGAATTATTCATCTTCCAAAAGTGAGAGGGAATCGGCTGAGGGCCGGCGGTAGAGTTCGCTAAGCTGCCTAAGCGCAGGTGGGGCAGCAACCAAGGAATCGTTTAATTTTCTTTCTTTCTTTTCACCCCCTCACCCCCACCCCGCCTACTCCAACCTGGTCCAAGGTCCAAGGTCCAAGGGGCTTCAGGGGTACTGTTCATGAAAGGGACTCGGAGGCACGTTTCTTTGCCGGAACTGGGAGTGTTTCATTGCGGGAGATACGAAAGCATGTGCTGTATACTACGGGAGCTGGCTGCCGGGAGAGGGGAAAGGGTCGGGAGATGGTACTCCAACCTGGCTGTCCAAATTCTGGGGAACGCAGCTGAGCATCCCGGGAGTTTCCTCTGTAGGGCGAACGTGGGCGCGGAGGGAGCCGAGGATGGGGCTGAAGGAGGACCGCGAAGTGAGGACGGTCTCTCTTGGCATCGCCAGGAAAGTAGTGACCGCGATCCCCTTGCCTCCTCAGGTATGAAAGATGCCGCTGAGCTTCTGGGCCACCGGGAGGCGGTGAAGTGTAGGCTGGGCGTGGGGGGCTCCGACCCTGGGGGCCATCCGGGGGACCTAGCGCCCAACTCCGACCCAGTCGAGGGAGCGACTCTGCTGCCCGGGGAGGACATCACTACAGTGGGCTCTACGCCGGCCTCGCTGGCGGTGAGCGCAAAGGACCCGGACAAACAGCCGGGGCCCCAAGGCGGCCCGAACCCCAGCCAAGCCGGCCAGCAGCAGGGCCAACAGAAGCAGAAGCGCCACCGGACGCGCTTCACGCCCGCGCAGCTCAACGAGTTGGAGAGGAGCTTCGCGAAGACTCACTACCCCGACATCTTTATGCGCGAGGAGCTGGCGCTGCGTATCGGGCTGACCGAGTCCCGAGTGCAGGTACGCCGGGCTTGGGCGCGGGGGCAGCAGACAAGGAGGGGCGGGAGGATATGGGCAAAAGAAGGGGGTCTTTTTCTTGACGGGGTCCTGGGCTTGCGCTTCGGCTGCCTGTGAGTTCCGTGGACAAGCAGGGCCCCCTTCTCCCACCAGTAGAGTCACATTCCCACAGAAATGCCTCAAAAGCGAAGCCGGCCTTGTTCGACTGTTAGGTCGTCTCATTCGTCTTCACTGAGAAGGGAAGCTCCGAATCTCCCAGCCTCCGCACCTCCCAGCCTCTGCGTCTCCCTGGCGGCTAAGCCGAGCGCGCACCTCCACTCCAGCTCAAGTTATTGACAAGTATTTCATTACCCCCTAATGAGTCTGTGTAAGGCGTCTAGATAAATGCGGGAATGCAACAGTTATCCAAAAACTTGAAAAGGGAGAAAATAAGACATAATGGCACCTAAAAAAACAAAAACCAAAAAACAAACAAAATAAACCCCACATCTGAGGTTCACCGTGTAGCTTTATTCTCCTGAACATCTCCCTCCCGCCGCTCTTCGACAAAATACCCCGAGCTTTGAGGTTTGCAAAGGTTTTAAACTTTGATGATCTACCAGTGCGCTGAGGGAGGCTGAAGAGATCCCCTACAGTCTGTGAGCCCTGGTTTTCCCCTAAGGAAACTGGGAGGAGGAGGATGAAGGCTTTCTGTTGTAGATATTCGATCTGAAGAAAGGACATTTAGGACAGGAAAGATTGACAGGTAGTAGACGAAATCATCACTGACCCCTTGTTCTCGTCCAACCACCCTCCAAGTTGTAAATTATATATAACTTATAAAATCACACCTATAACTTTTCTGAAAATCAGGGAAAAAATGTATAAGCCCAGCGAATCTCAGATTTTTTTTTTTTTGCTTCTTAGAAGAATGAAAACAATATATCAGATATTTTATGGACAAGTGTGGAGGTGAAATTCCAAGTCCCGAAGTTGGTCTTGAACTATCCAGGGTTCTGAAAACCCTCCTTTCCTGCCTCCGATGTGATATTTCTGTCATGCTGAGTATCAACTATAGCTGTAGGTGCTTTAACATATTAAGTTTAAAAATATCAGTTCCTTTATATTTGATCTAAGAAGAGGCAAGGGTGTCCATAATCACAGGGTTGAATATTTCTGTCTGTGTGTGACATTTTAAAGATAGTATAACCTGGAAAAATAGCATATGCTTCTGTTCTAAATAGTCAGCAAATGGATATCATCATTGGGGACTTAAAGTGGTCAGATTAACACAGAAATAATCAAGGTATAATATAGATTAACATTTTTACTCAGTATAAGTCTGGGTGGTTTCATTAGTGAACTTTGGAAGCCCTGAACCATGGGCCATTGAAATTAAACACCCAAAGAGTGTTAATTGCATTGTGCAGATATATACTATTGTGCAGATATATACTATTTGTTTTTAAAAAATTTTACTTACCTTTTCTTTTGAAATCTGAAGTCGAGTCCAAATCTTAACAGAAATCACAATTTCAATACTTCCATTAAAGCTAATGATAATACTGGCTTGTTAAAATCTCCTAAGTTCAAAATTCATAAATTTGCTTTTTGTCTCTCAAGAGAAATACTACCTGATAATTTTTGTTTTAAAGAGTAAAATGCTGTTGCTTAACCTAGACATAGTGGTAATTAGTTTAAATTAAAATAGAACTTAGAATCACAAATAAAATATAACTGGACAACTGACTTTATGAAAAAAGAAAATGAGGTCTATTAAACTTTATTAGGTCTTCCAAAGGTTAATGGCAGTGATTCTTTTAATATAAAAAGTTGTAAATGAAATAAAATACAAACTATGTTATAGAAAGTTATTTTCAAAAAGTACACAAAAGAATAATCAAGAAGAAAAAGACAAAGTACTTTAATTGTTCTAGCATAATGTTCAACAAAAGATAATAGCTTGAGGCTGCTGATAGGAACAATTTAATAGAATGGCAATTTCAATATTTTTAAAAATAATGTTTCATAGTTTAAAAAGTAATCAGATCAACATAACCTTCTTAATTAACATTTCAGAATGATTAACATTATGTGATGTAATGCAAAAATAATTTATGGAAAATGTATTTACTTCACAATTCACTGTACCATTGCTCCTTGACCAAATTCAAATTAAATAGTAATTGGTTTATGTTCTTATATGATGAGTCCTTCATAGTTTTCTTTATAGTTAACAGATTGCCACACATTCTTTTCAGTATGTGGGCCACTGCACTGATTAAAAATGATCTAAATATTTAATTTATTACAATTGTATGTTTTTAAAGATGCTTTTTAATTCTAGACTAACTGACCCAACACACTTATTTTTATCCAAATCTGGTATATATCATACTTTTTAAGCATTTATAAAAGCACCTCTACTTACATGGAGGCCAATTCCATGTCTGATATCGCTCCCTTTTTCTGGCTAGTGTAATAAAACCATTCCTTTTATAGCATGCCATTATTAGAAACCAATTTCAGAATTATTTATAACCTGGAATGGCTTATTAAGCAGCAATGCGAGAATCATGCAAATTACGCGATCAAATGCAATATAATAAGCATAATCATTAGTCTCTAGCACGGATTAATTAACTTTCAATATTTTATTTACATAAAAACCAAATCAGTGAAATAACTTCTGCACAGTCAGGCTTGCCTTTCAATATTTTATACGAACAAAAATAATGTGCTGTAATTCCATTGACCGTGTCCCCCAGAATGGCCCTGTCACCTGCCACATCTTAATAGGGGGACAAGCTGAGAGTATTTTCTAGTTTTCTAATGGAATGAGAAATTGCATTTTCTTCCTCTCCCAGCACTATTAAAGTGTAATGAATTCGGCCCAGAGTTCACGGCTGGCTGATCGAAATGAACCTGAGATCTCGGCTTTAATACAGCTCCCCAGATTTCCTCCCAAATCTTCACATTAATCATTTGCTGGATTCCAATGAGATCTTCATAAAGCGTTTGCTTCGAGGGGGAAAAAAGTAATATTCTCTCTTTCTTCCTCTCTTTCTCTATTTCTGAGCCATTTATAGTTGGGGAATTAAACGGGCTATATATTTTAAAATACATTTACAGTATGTCTATATTACTGTAACAGCAGATATCATGAAAGTGGATTTTTAAATTCCAACCTCCATTAGATTCTCACTGTTGTATTAAGCATTTTGTGAGAAGAGCTGCATTTCAAACTGAGTACAAAGTTGGCCCGTGGCTGCGGTTAATATATTTTCTGCAGTTGTCATCTGTGCATTCTCAAAATCTCCCTTAGGTTTTGCCTGCATTTTAATCTGTCATGCTCTAGTTTTCAAGTGGAAACATTCACATTTTAAAAACATATGCATCATAGCTTGGAACGGAGGTGTTCAGACCCCATGCAGATTTTTTTCCCAACCCCAGTAAGCCATGAAACATAAAAAATTTTGTAGCCATCATTTGACTACTAACCCTCAAACATAATTGAGCACGATTTTTCGATTATCCCTATAATATTTAGTTCTTTAACAGCTGTTCTTTTCCACCTGTGTCTGAGGTTCAGAAACCTTTCTAGTGGGTGTGTTTTACACTGAAATCCTATGGGGCCATCCTGCCCCCCTTCTTTCTTTCTGCTGCTTCTCTTCCCGCTCCCCCACAGATGTCCGCCACCTTCCTCCGCCATGTTCCAAACAGTCAAACATTCTCAGGACTCATTGACACTTTGCAGGATGTTAGAAACCAGCCTTTATAGATACCTTTCAAAATATATCTGGGTGTGGAATGTGAGATGGGACTCTCACCTAGACACCATCCCTGTCTAGGGCTTCAGCCAGTTTACCTCCCCCCATTCCAGCCGTGGAAGGGGAATGCAAAGTGACCTGTGGCCGCAGGTCTCCTCGCCGTGTTTTCCTTGGCTTCTGTGGGTTACTCTCTGCTCCAGGCCACTAACAGCTCAATTCGCTGCCGGCAGCATTGATCCCGGTTACTATCAAGGGCCCCACAGCCTCATTAATCCGTCGTGCCACCAACTCAAGGGGCTTTAGCAAGTAAGGGACCCTGCATCTTTATACAGTCTGGAACTTGGGGTAGGCAGAAACATGGAAAATGGGGTAGAAATCAGAGAAAGATAATATGGTGGGCAAAGGTGAGAATGTTGTGGCAGGGCCAGGCCCGACCCAAAGATAGGAGATAATTCTAGATTGCAAAGCCGTTCACACTGTTAAGCGTACAGTCACCACTTGCACGGGTATAACACACCTCTGTGAATAGCTGGCTCACCAACAACGGGTCAGTTAGGTCCATACTCGTGACCCTTTATCTTGCAGGATAAACACTGAACATTAGCTTGGAATAACAGATGAATGGCCTTTTGGTCACGAATATGGTCAAATTGTGTTTGCCAAATTCTAAGAGGAAACTCATCAATACCTGAGCTGTGTCTCACATCATTTGTATTTATGCACAGTAAACCTCCACCTAACTAGATGTTAAACTGAAAGCCTGCCACGTAGGTATGCTGCGAATTATTATGATGATTTTTTAAAAATATAGAATCAAAAAATAAATATCAAATTCAAATATAAGGAGACAGGAGGCTACCTTGGTCAGGCAGGTCTGACATCTTTAAGAAGAAACTTTCCTTCCCGTGGTAGCGAATATGACATTAGTAGGCAAATTTGTTTGGTAAGTTCAGAAATTCAGGGTTATTGTGAATAAAGAATGAGTAGGTTTATTTTTATTTGGAGTATGTTTTATCAAACACATCTCCTTTAAAAAGATATGTGGCTATTGGATCTACGCAATATTAAATTTGATTCATTACTAGTGTGAGCTTTAAACCTGACCTTTAATTTGTAGTCAGAAAATTTGCTTTCAGTTACAGATGAAACAGGAAATAGAGGGTGGGGGGGACTTGCGGAACTGGAGGCCCTATAGCCTCGTGTCCTCAGTAGGTTTCTTAAAATAGACTGGCAGGCACCCGGCTCTGGCAGCAGATTCCAGTGTATCCGCACAGCTTAGATAAAAGGTGCCGTTAGAGGGGTTTGAGAATGAGGCAATGAGACTTGTGGCAGAAGCACCAGTCACAAGTCACGGTGGCGACCCAAACAACACCGTAGCTCAGTGCCGCTCACTTTCCCACATGGATCACTATATTAACCTCTCCGCTCTGTCATCCGTGGCGTTAGGGGTTTTCCTTTGTCTTTCGATTTTGAGACGGGCTATGTCATGCACAGCCTTTCATCAATTTCCAAATTTCCAGCGTTTCTGAAAATTCTATACCCCATCAGTGTTATAAGGCACGCTATTAAGCCACATGGGTACACATGTTTATCTTCATTTGTACACCTGTGGGTCCAATTTTGACACATGCCTGCCTGCAGACTTGTTCATCTAAGCCGTGCACAGAATGTGCCAGCATGCTGTTGAACGCCGCGCGCGGTGGTGTGTTCGCAGCGAGTGTAGGAGCGCGGGGGGCACGACTACTCAGGACCCCGGAAGTGAGCGCTTGCTGAGTGCCCCGGGCGCCGGTTTTCTCCAGCTGACCAGGAACCGCGGTCTCTGGCTGGCCTGGGGGCGCGTTGGGTCGAAGGCCCTTGTTTCACCTGGGGCAGGGTCTGACGCAGCTTTCTCAGGCTCAAGCCCCCGCCCCTCCGGGCGGGTCGGCTTGCTGATAGCGCTCTGTCTGTCTCCCGCCCCGCCCGCTCCAGGTCTGGTTCCAGAACCGGCGCGCTAAGTGGAAGAAGCGCAAGAAGACCACCAACGTGTTCCGCGCGCCTGGGACGCTGCTGCCCACGCCAGGTCTGCCTCAGTTTCCGTCAGCCGCCGCCGCGGCCGCCGCCGCCATGGGCGACAGCCTGTGCTCCTTCCACGCCAACGACACCCGCTGGGCGGCGGCCGCCATGCCGGGCGTGTCACAGCTCCCGCTGCCGCCGGCTCTGGGCAGGCAGCAAGCCATGGCTCAGTCGCTGTCCCAGTGCAGCCTGGCGGCCGGGCCGCCGCCCAACTCCATGGGCCTATCCAACAGCCTGGCGGGCTCCAACGGCGCGGGGCTGCAGTCGCATCTTTACCAGCCCGCCTTCCCCGGCATGGTGCCCGCCTCCCTCCCCGGCCCCAGCAACGTCTCCGGCTCGCCCCAGCTCTGCAGCTCCCCGGACAGCAGCGACGTGTGGCGGGGCACGAGCATCGCCTCCCTCCGCCGCAAGGCGCTAGAGCACACAGTCTCCATGAGCTTCACTTAATGCAGCCGCGCCCAGCCTGCTCCGCCCCCGGCGCCGCCCCCAGGGCCGCCCCGAGGTCCTTCCGCGCGCGCCCGGGCCCCCGCTCCCTGCCCGGGCCCCTGCCCCGGCGCCCTGCCCCATCCCCGCCCGGCCTCCGCCACTTCTCGTTTCGTTCTCTCCTCTCTCGTTCGCTCTCTCGGGCTCACCCCAAGCCCCAGCCCGCGAGGCCTCCCCTCCGCCTGATTTCGCTCGCCCCGGTCCCCTCTCCTCCTCCCCACCCCCAGCTCCACTTACCGCCTCGCTTAATCTTCCCTGGCCCCCTTCTCCCGCGCCTCACCCTACCCTTCTCAGCTACCCCCGGCCACCCGGCTCGCACGTAGCGTGCTTGCGCCCTCCTCCCAGCCTTCCGACTGGCGGCATTCTCACCTACACCTTCAACACGACGCCTACGACCCCTCGCCCGCCGCCCCCCCTCGGGTCCCTTCTTAACCCGCACCTCGCACCCCTCCTCCCGCGCCCTGCAAAAAGCATCCTTCCCGCCATTTTACTTACCAGGGAGTCGACTCAGGATCTGAAATCAGACACCAATGGACTGGTTTGTGGGCAGAAACACAACACACTCGCACTCTCGCTCACACTCAGACACTACATACACTCGCGCACACATACATACACAGTGCACCTAGGTCACACACGGACGTGTTCAAGGGACAGCACAATGTTAGGGATTTTCGTCTTAAAGGAGGACAAGCATCTGCTACAACCGCCTCATCTGAGGGCCCAACGGACATAATTTGATTTATCCCTGTATTCTTTCTCCCAACTCCTGTTTTGTTTTTTCCTCTCCCACCACCCGACCCTTGCCCCATCCACCCAGTCACATCCATGCAGCCCTCTATTGGCTTGCAAAAGAACACTTTTATTTTATCTTTTATTTTCTTAAGCACAACTGTGTGAGGTTATTGAAGGGAAGGCTTCTCAGGAGGAACATGCCAGTGGATTGGGTGGCTGGAGTAGACTAAAGCAGTCATGTGATGAAGAAGAGGTGATCCTACCCATTTTGATAAGTCTTTATAAGGAAGAATAAAGTAAACGTAAGAAAATTTTCCTTTTGTAAAAGTAAAAGCCACATCTCTTTTCTGGATCCTTCAGGACTGGGGTTTGTTTGCTTCCTTTTCCGTTTCTCTCTCCTCGCTGCTCTGTGCCCTAGGTTGTTTTGTGGTCGTCCTGTCGTCCCTCGTGCCCCTCGGCCACTGCCCTGGCCCTTGCCGGCTGCCGATGGGTGCACTTGGACATCTACAACCCTGCAACTTTGTACAGAGAAACACAATCAGCTCTTTCTGCATGTGCTGGTCAAATCCAAACCCAGAGAACAGAAGCGCTTTCGAAGAATGAACAAACATGTGAAATAGGATGTTTTGTGTAGATAAAGCATTCTTGTTACATACTGGTCAATTTGTGATATGTTTTAACTTATTGTCTGTGCTTATTTATGGAATTTGGTTTTCTTAATAAATGTTTGAGCTAATATAAAGCATATTATTTGACTTTTCCGGACAAGTTTATATCAAGTTAAATGTAAATGGTTAAAATAAAATCATTTTCAGTATGTGATATGGAGAATGATGGGTTTTGTTGTGGCTGAATTTCAGGAGAGGGTCTCATGGGGGAGGGAGAGAGAGCTCGTACAATGGGCTCTCAATTCGCGCTCAAACCTGTGGCAGCTCTCCACGGTTTCCGGGTTGCACCGCAGCCCAGGCAGCGCTGTCCCACACAGCTTCTGGGCGACGAGGCCGCGCCTCGAATCGCAGGCCGGAAGTTAGAAGGCCGGGTGCGGAGGGCCTCACGTGAGCTCGAGGCATCGCGAGGCTTTGAGCAGGCGCGGGCCTAGGAAGCCTGAGATAGGTCTCAGGGCCCAACTGCCCGCACTAAAAGCAGGGCGAGGAATTGATAAGCCTTGCGTGTGGACGGTTTCCCATGGGCAAAGAAGTGGAGGGCGGGCGTGGTCCGGCTGCGTGCGTGTGTGAGGGGCAGGCTGTAGGCGAGAGGAAGGATCATAGTGAAGGAAGCCTGGGAACCTTCCGGTGTCACCCAAAGTCTCATCTGACCCCAGGTACACAGTGGCTGTGAAAGGGCCGGGGTGGAGGGAGGTGGAGTGCGCTAGAGTGTGGGGGAAGGTCGTGATTTCCTTTTCTAGGCCCTAGGCCTCCCGGCCTTCTGAAAGAGGCAACCCGGCCCCTTTGGGTCCTCAGGATGTAGGCTGGGCTTCCGGTACTGGGACTTGGGACCTCCCAAGCGGAGGGAAACCTCACATATGGAAAAAGTTCCTCGGAACTACCTGGCTTTGGGCTGTGCCTCTTAGGTTTTGCCTCATCTGGCCCCTCTCATTTTCTCAGGGTCCTTACTTGGTGCAAGTTAAATTCGAATATATCCACGTGCTCGGGGGACAGCCCCACATTAACTAGTACCGAAAATTGCTGTTTCTTTGGTAGTCTGGGAGGGAAGGTTGTGGGTGTTTTAAACTTGGAGGCAAATCAATATCACAGGCATTCTTTGGAAGACTAATCAAAATCGATCTTGTAGTTTAAAATTTAAGGGTCATTATAGGCATTGAGAGTGCACCCTTTCCCATGGGAAGATTTCTCATTTGGTTGCCACTGAGTAAATCCTAAAAAGTCCCTCGCCCTAGAATATAGTTTTGAACCACTGGGCTACATGTGAATTCTAGGAACTATTAATTGTTACTCAGCTAAGAGCAGGGAAATCTCCTCGAAGGCAAGACGAAAAGCCATGATTTTCTATGATAAAGAAAAATTATATTTTCGTGTTGCCTTAGGAATTAGAGGTAAAATTGGTGGGTAGGGTTCACCGAATATTTCAGTTCTACATTTTCTAAAGCGTATTTTTAGTATAAAGTTAAAATATTAAAGAAGATAAAAACATGCTCATTTGGGATTTCAGATAAAAATGGAGCATTTCTATATTTTAGAATTCCAGAATTTAGCGACATAATCACATTTCTGAAATGTCTGTAGATGAAAAATATGTTTTCTTGTTTTTACATTTCATCATATTCTCTCTTAGTGCTTTTTTTTTTTAAATTGAAATCATAGCTACTGTAATCTCAAGTCACATTTAAGAGATCAGTACAAATTATAGATTGCTTTACCAGTGAGCATGGAAGGTTGTTTACAAGGATGCTAATTTTACAGCTTTTTTATGCTGCTATAAAGCATAACTTTATGATGTAGGAATGCAATAAAGGATGCTAAATGGAATCTTTAAAAATTGTATTTCTCAAAGGCAAGGGAAATCTTTCATTTGAAAAAAAAAAAATGGGCCAACTCAGAACACTGATGAGAAGTTACAAATCAACTGAAGTGATAGATGCTTTCAAAGATACTTATATTTCATAATATAGTGGTTATTTATCAATATTATAATGAAAGTGTACATTTTTTCACTCGACCTGACTTTAGAATAATATTTGTTTCTATAGCAATAGATTTCTGTATTAAGAATTCTGAATATTTTTAATGTTATATATGCTATTAGCATAAGGGAAGGCAATCTGGTCTAAATTGTTAAAGTCGACAGTTTAGCAAAGATAAAAATGAGAGAATGAAAACCTTAATCATAAGTCTGAAAGATTTCTGCATTTTGAGGGAGGAAAAAAAATCTAAAAACAAAATAAAACTTCTTAATATTTTTGCTTTTTATCAGCAGCAATTGTGTCTCAAACTGTTGAAGTTATATTAATAATTACATTAAAAAATAAAGGCAATAATGAAGTTATATTAATAATTACATTTTAAAAAGGCAATAATGAAGTTATATTAATAATTATATTAAAAAATAAAGACAATAATGATGACTGATATTAGAACACAAGGTAGATGAGTACAACATACTGGATGTTCTGCCTCTAATGAATTGTACTTTTTGCTGAGTTGCCTGTTTGGCATTGAATACTGTCACCACATGCTGGCTAGAAAAAGTCAAAGTTTATCATGATGTTACTATGTGATTGATTTATTTGAATATACATATTCATCCTTGTGTATTTTTTCCCCTCAAGATTGGTACTAAATATATGTGGCATAGCATGATGGCCTGTTAATGATGTGCACTTAGTTTACCTTTTGTTGATGGTGGAAGAAATATGGTATAGGAATTCAACCTACCAAAGATGGTGTTAAGTATTAAATATAAAATAGGATGTAGAGCAGTTTGGGTAAATCAAGGTAGATATAAGTGGAGAATACGGATGAAATCCTAACATTGGACCCATTTATGTTTGATGTCCTCAATGACTGCTTCCTGTAAAAATGAAAATGTTTTTCATTTGGGTTGTGGACTGTATATTTTAATTTTTAGGATAAAGAAAAAACTGAGCCCACAAAGATGTGTCTTCTAGTAATGGCAATGTTAACCTGTCAGTTGAAAGAATGTAACCTTCCTTTTCTCCTTTTCCTGACATAAAGGTAATCTCATCTGAGGGCATTTATGTGAAGAAGTAACAGCATGGCATGGTGAAACTACTGGCTCATTAATCCTGGCATCTACTTCCTACAGGGTTCCTTGATTAGTTAGATTCATTCGGTGGGCATTTCGGAGTTTTTGATTTGTCACCATTGACTAGGTTCACTGAGTTCAGGCTAAATTGAGCCAGAAGCAATGTTTATTAGTAATTTTGTAGTACAGGCTACCCTAATAATTCAGCCCAAATATCTCATCTGAAAAATATCCATTCACCCTCACTTCTAATGTGGGTTGCAGCTGTGTTCATAGGGAATTGAAAGAACATAAGTGATTGGGCATGTATTTTCTAAATTATTAATATGATGGCTAATAGCTGTAAACCCATCCTCGTATCCAATGCAGAAATTAAGATTAATTTTAAAAATGAAAGCAGCAACAAAGGGGGGCACCCCCTGCCTGGCTCTTTGCTCTCATCAGTACAGAGCTTTTGGTATAGGAACCGTGGCCTGTTTAGCATGTGGTCATTATAGAGAGAAACAGAACAATGCCTTTTGCTTTGCTTTTGGCGTGCTCCGCCAAAATAAGACATGCATTTATAAGATTTACC